TTGGCCCTTTAAGGTTACGTCTGGCCTCTCCCTCCACTTTAAGAAACCAGAGTTCTGGCTGTGCTGTGCCCCTAGAAGGGACGGAATGCAGATCCTGCACAAAGGATTGGCTACTAAGAAATTCTCTCCATTACTTTCTGCAGATGTACCTTTCTCTGTTAGCACCAATCATTCAAATGGCTGCAGAGGGAGAGTCAGAAATAGTATATAGTATAGTTTCTTTTTAACAATGCCACAGTTACTAAAAATGGCATTAGTTGGGATTGCACATTCATGATTTCAAAAGATCTCAAAATGCCTATGGAATATTCCCCCAACAGGAGAGGAGAGCTGGGGGCGCCTCCAAAGGAAACACATAGTAATGCGAAAGAACACATCCAAACAGTCAAAGGGAACTACCCCCCAACTAGGTCTAGGGAGCCACTTTAACCACCACCTCAGACACTCCTTTCTAGTCTAGTCTTAGGGGCTTAACATAATATTGCCCCTCAGAAGCTAAACTGCAGGTGTCACCAATCTAAGGAATTCCATTCCTTATGGCAGTGCAAAACTTCAGTCATCTGTAAACACTGTACATTTTACTTTTGGCACGGGGGAAGAGCTTCCAGGTTCCTTTGTCCTTGAAGTGCAGATTCTAAACAGCTAGCTCCTCAACTACAGACATTTTTAGCAAAGGTAGCATCAATCTGGATAGCGTGTGCACACATGTATACTCATGAATGGCATCAAAATGAATTCTCTTTAAGGATGAATCTGAACAATTTTAGCACAGAAAGGGCTAAAGGAAAAAACAACAAATTCACAGTATCTAAAACCAAGTACTTTCACAAGTTCACATAACATCATAGAAACAGAACAAAACAAACAAAAACACTATCAAATAACTAGTCTGCAAGTTTCCTCCTTTCTAAAGTGAACCAAACAAGTAGCTTTGTGGAACTGAGACCATTCACCATTTCCCACTAGTGACTTTTCAAAGGCACCAATATTACATTGAATATAAACACACATACAAAATGTTATAAATGATCTTTGCTTTCAAAAATAAATTCTTTCAAACCATGTGATATTCCACCAAGTATTTCATACATCTAAATACACATAAATAACGAATACATATCTGCATTATCATAAATGCTCGGCAGTGAAATGTTATAGTACATAATTCTGTGGCTGTCTGGAGACTGGCCTGGTACTCTGATCCATCTGTTCCAACCTACGACTGGAACCTATGATGTCCTACATGGACTAGGGAAATGGTAACACTGTGTGAAGGCTTGGTTTGAATTTCTACTGCAAGCAGTAAATACAGAAGCACACTGATGACTATAAAGTTCTTTGTAAGGGGAATGAGTTAACAGTGAAACACTACAGATTTTCTTAATGATCTGTTATCTCTGCTCTGGATTTTTTTGTCCAGGATAATACAGTCAATACCTTCAATGACAACTAAAATAAGAAATTTGACAAGGTATGACAGCAGCACATGCCTGTAATCCTAGCACTCTGAAGCAGGAGGATCACTGCAAGTTTGAGGCCAGTCTGGGCTACATGGTTACTAATTAGGGCTAAACAGCAAGGCCTTGTTTCAAAAAAAAAACACACACAAATGTGATGCTAATGTGGGATGGTTTCGTTAACTCAGTTCATGGAGTGACTAAACATTGAACAATAACATCTGCTTTAAAAGACCTTTCCTCACTGAATTAAGATTTCAACTGAAGCATGGCTTACAAAAACCAGAATGACTATTTAACCCAATACTCAAATGAAGACATTTTAAAGTGAAAGGGGAGATGGAGAGAAACCAGACAGGAGACGGAAAAACAGGGACAAATTGGCACTCTCTCTGAAAACTAAAACATATGTTCCCATAATTTCAACTGAATGATGGTGGTAGATCATATACTAGTAAAATAGAAAATTTCAAACTATGCCTTACACACTAAAATTCTGTTATCCTAATGGCAACAAAATGAGAAAAATCAAACACAAATTAACAAAATGACTTAAAGTTTCTCATAAGCAAAGACAGGATGTGGCTCAAAGAAAACAAAACAAAACAAAGACATGAGTAAAAACAACAACAAAAAAATCTGTTGCTCTTAGAAGGAAAAATACTTAGTAGCCTACAGAGATGCTGTGGTGGGGAAGGATAGTTCAATTAGTATCACATACCTACAAACATAAATGTTTAATTCTTTAAGCTTTTTTAAAACATTCTGCAAGTTCACATAAGGGGATCCCCAATTCTCCCTAACTTCAGTTTCTTACTTACAAAAGCATCTGACACAAAAACAAACTTGAGAACTACCAAACTACTATGAAGAGTACTATTTTGGGGAAACAGGGAGTAAGGAACAAATTAAATGAGCTTTCTAAAATTTCAAAGCCAAGTTTCATCACGTTTTCTAATAGATCATTTAAGTCAAAGGACTTGTTTTGCTTACTGGGGATAAAACCCTCACCCCTAAATGACTCCGACTACAGCTGAGACTCACCTCCCAGGAAAGAGCAATGCTAGAGAAAATGGTTCCATTACCTTTTCTTGCTCTCACGGTAGAAGAAGTTTTTGGGTTAGCTAAACATTTATAGGCCATTTACTCTGGAAGAAAGTGTTAAGTTGTTTTCTCTAGAGTTGTAGTGCTCACAGCCATTTGTTACAGGATCAATCTACATTTTAAGGTTTTGTCATTTCAAATTCAACAAATGGCACTATTTAAAATATCTCACAGATGTTAATAAGGTAACACGTATTTTCTAAAGATGTACTAGTCAAGAGACATAGATTCCAGCAGCAGCTCTACCACTAGCTACATCATTTGCTTTCATGTGCAAAGTAACAAGGATTGAATATGAGTGCATTATATTTTAAAAATTCAGACATTTTAAGAAAACTTCCTTGCTGGGCATGGTGGTGCATGCCTTTAGTCCCAGCACCCAGGAGGCAGAGACAGGTGGATCTCTGAGAGTTCCAGACCAGTCTGGTCTACATATGATAACCTCTTTGGAGATAAGTCTGCCCCATTTTTATGTTAGCTCAGAGAATCATGACTTGTAGGATAGATAAGAAAGAAAGAAAGAAAGAAAGAAAGAAAGAAAGAAAGAAAAAAAAAGAGAGAAAGAAAATTTCCTACCTAGAAACTAAATATGGCCAGTGATGAATCCTGTTCTATCTACTTCCTGTTTGGTATCTACAAAAACAGGAAGAAAAACCTTTCTAGGACAGGACTTCTGAAAGTAGCCTGTTCAAAGCTTGCATGATGGCCTCCTCAAATAAGCTATAATGACCCAGATAGCAGGGATTTGTCTCTGGGGATTGGAGCACTTTTTTTTTTACTTTTTTTTTTAATCAAGCAGAGTTGGAGATTTTAGTAAATTTTATTTTTTGGCCTTTTTTTTTTTGAGACAGGATCTCCCTGTAGCCCTAGCTGTCCTGGAACTCACTATGTAGACTGGGCTGGCCTTGAACTCAGAGATCCACGTGTCTCTGCCTCCCGAGTGCTGGGATTAAAGGCATGCGCCACCACACCCGGCTAGTAAATATATTTTAATGTAAGCTTAAACATGAAGATTGGGAGAAAAAGGTGCTCAGAAGAAAGTCAGACCTACCCAAGTCTGAGTACGGGCTCAAGAGAGAGGACCAGGACTGGAGCACTTCTAAGAAAACCAGGTGATTCTTATGACCTCCAAGTTCAATTATTCTAGGGATTTGGTCTTTAAAATGATATATTCATATTCCCAAGGCTATACCACGATCTCCCTCATGAGTTCAGCAACATAAATAGGTAAAAAGAAATCAGTCTGAATGTCTTCAATTTGTTTATCAGTATTATCCTAAACAGCTATGGTCTAAGATGACTAAACAGAATTAAACAGATTCTCTTCTATTTTATTTCCCTTTTCACAATGGTTAGACTCCCCATTCTCTCATCCAAATCTTACTATAGACAGTAGCCTGAGAGTAAGAACCCCAGAGGCAGAGATCAAAATCACCTAGCAGGCTTCCAAGAGACAATGAATCAAGAGCCTGGATTACAAATTCTGTACCTTCTTTTTTTCAGAACTGACTACCGAGTAGGCTATGCCAGGTGTACACTCATGTATTTATTTGAATTAAGACTAAGAGATTTCAGTTTGGCATGATACAGCCTGAAATTACAGCACTGAGGTGGTAGAGACAGGAGGGCATCCTTGGCTACACAGCTGAGTTAGAGATCAGTCTGAGCTACAAGAAACGCTGCTTCAAAACAAAACAAACAAGTCAACAAATAAACAAGAAAGAGATTTCTTGAAAGTTTAGTCTGCTATTTTTTAAAATACTAGGCTTTGCTTTTTTGTAGGACATGACTTTTTCCACAATTAGCTAAATCTACAGCTTTGATAATGCTTTTAACCCCCCCCCACACACACACAAAGACACACTATTTTAGATGGTATGTTCTTTGTAAGTACTTAAACTTTGGAAACTTAGATATAAAATCAAAGCTGTGCAAAAGTAAAACCACCTGGGTGAGAGCCACGCAGAGATCGAAGGGAATGGCCTGAAAGAGACTATTGGAGTATTTTGGAGTGGCAGAAACATTTAACTTAAAGTAGCTACTCAGATTTCTACAACGCTTCCCTCAAATATTTCATTGTTAACTATATCTACACTAATTTAAATGTCCAAAATGTTATACACATTTTCTCAAATATCTTAGGGCTATGTGAGCAAAAATATTTAATAACCAGTGTACTAAGACATAGAAAGAAGAACCTCTTGCATTGTAGGAGTTTTTCTTAAGCCAGATGTAGCGGCACACATCTAATTCCCAGCTCCTCAAGAACCCAGGGTGGGAGGGTGGAGAACTTGAGGACTGCCTGGGTAACCCAGAAAAACTGTCTCTTATAAGAATAAGGGATTAACTTAGGGGTAAGTGATAGAGTGCATGCTCACGGCTCTAAGTTTGACTATCAGTATAAAGGGGGTGAGGGAGCTTTGTTTTTTCTGAACCAGGCAGAATGACTTCAACATAAACTAATTAAACAGCAAGTCACAGTTTGACTAATCAGGTGTCTGTTTTCCCAGTGTTGGCCCTAGCATTTTCCTAATAACTACCTTAGAGTTTAACGCCTCAAGAATATTACTGAACACCAGGGGTAGAGAATAAAATTAACTAAAAAATTAATTTTGCAATAATTTGGTAAGTGAATGTTTTATGTTTCTGTTAGCTGTTCCCTCTCAGATTTCAACTTTTGAAGGAATTGATTTTCTTATCTTTTCATGTTAATGAAATCCCCAAATCAACCTTCTAAGATGTTCTCAAATTCCATATATGCTTACAAAAATAAACACATGCAATGGGGTCACACTTAGAAAAGATGGTCAATACTATGTAATCCAGAACTCACAGAGATTCATTCACCTGCTTCCTGAGTTCTGGGACTAAAGGCATGTACCACCATGCCCAGCTACACAGATTTTTTTTTTTTTTTTTTTAACACCCTAGACTGGCCTCAAAATTGGTGATCTGTCTGCCTCTGCCTCCAAGAACACTGATTTTTTATAAGTTACCTGGTCTTTCTAATATTTCTCTCAAATTATTAAGTTATGCTATAAACACTTTAATAACCAACTGAATCTCTTTCTTACAAGTAGGACACGAAGCCCCAGCCTTCTTTAGTCTTCTGGCACAGTGAAAACAGGTAGTAAGATGGCTCGTCCTCCCATGAATAATGTTCCCATCTCGAGGTCTTTTCTCACATAAGCTACATGGCTTCAAGATATTCTGACAATCCTCCATATTTTCTGTATCTGTTTTCTGCTCAGAAAGGATATCTGATTGTTCTCGCAAGCTTGAGATTGTCTCTTGACTTTCAGAACTGTGAGCCAAATCCAAGAATTCCACTGAGTTGCAAGGGTTAAAGAGTTTGGAATTTTCTTCCTTTATATATACATCTTTAGGTCTAACAACTGGAGCTGAAATGGTTCTCCGACAATCTGGAACATCAATTCCTTCATTTTCCTTCTTTTCAGGTATGGCAGTGATATCAGATGTGGAGAGAGAATGTGTTAATTTAGAACAATCCGAATACCAATCCTTCCTCAAGGCCCAGCAACGAAAACAGTACCTCTTGCTTGGAGAGTTAAACTTCTTGCACTCAGTACATTGCCACTCATCCTACAAAGAGATAAGTGCAGTCAATTAACACTCAGTACTGGGTGAAAAAAGCGTTGAGAAAAAGGGAAGGTAGGATTGGTGGGATGGGTCAGCAGGTAAAAGCACTTGCTGTGCAAGCCTGATAACCTAACATCCTTGGAACTCACAGCAGAAGGAGAAAAACTAACTCTTGAAAGCTGTCCTGTGTCCTACAAACATGCCGTGACATCCATCTTTCCTACCTCCCTACCTCTCTCCCTCCTTCTCTCTCTCCCATTCCTCCCTCTCTCTCTCTCTCACACACACACACTCTAACAAAATAAAAAAGGAAGATACACACATGCTCTAATTTTAAAAAAGGAAGAAAAACAGGCTGAATTCTCATCATTTCACTGTGTATGTCCAGACATCCCACACCAGTGGTCCAGCTTGAGACCTAAACAAATTCTATAGCCACATGGAAGTCCTTGGAAGTTTTACACTGATAGTGCCACAACTGTCCTTTTCAAACCAAAATTTGATATAGCTATCTTTTAAGAAAGTTAATTATTTTGGCTTTCTATCCAGTTTGGGGTGAAATGTACACTGTTTCTTTTCCTTGCCTTCTTATTGGTCACTTTTCTATATACTCCTTTGTCTGGCCAGATGCTAATAAATGGAGATAATATTCTGCCTTTGTTTCCTACTAATTAACAGGTACTATAAAACTTAACAAAGGGACTGGAGAGATGTCTCAGCAGTTAAGAGCACCTGCTGCTCTTGCAGAGAACCTGGTTTAGTTCACAGAACCCATGTCAGATAATTTACAACTGCCTACTAAGTCAAGCTCCAAGAGGTCTGCCATCCTCTTCTAGCCTCTGAGGGTACCACAACACACGTGCTCATACCACACACAAATAAATAAATAAATAAATAAATAAATAAATAA